CACACACAGTTAAACACCGTGGCTTCCTGCACCGCAGCGCTGCCTCCACCCACACTGTCTCACCCCAGCTAGAGCCAGGACCTAGGGGCAAATGGTCAGCATGAATTTTGGGGACGGGGGACATGGCCTCAGCATAGCTCTTCAGTGCAGCCCAGGCTAATGTCTACCATGCTTCTACGTTGCCTGCTTAATATTTGCAAAACGAGCGGCTCTGCAGGAGGCTAAAGCTTATGACCACCCTTGCCATTTCTGCTTTTGGGCAGAGCATAGGCAAAACCAGTGCCACACATAGCAACATGCACAAAAGAAGCTGTTCAGCATTTCATTTTTAAAAGATAGGAAAATGTTATTAAAACTGGATATGATTTGTTTAACGACTGAAACCAAGGGAATTAATTGTAAGGATTTATTCCAGGCCATTTTTTTACATAGACACATTCACATAAGTGCTTTCTGCATAATATTCTCAATTATTCACTGCCTCTCACCATAAAGTAACTAGAGACATCCAGCCAACTCAACAGGTAACCATTTTAAATTGCACTGAGTACATGGTATTGCTTGAACTCATTCTCTGGATCTTGATTAGGTCAGTATCTAGCACTCAGCAATAAGCTGATCTTCCCCCTGTTGTTCCTCTGAGTTTTCCTGCAGGAGGGTGCTCTCCATTTGTCACCAGGCAGTCATTGCCCATCCTCTGAAACATCCTGAATCAGCCAGGTGACAGCACCCAAGGGCAGGAACCATTTGCCGAGTGCTGTGTGTATTTGTGGCACTGTCTTATTCAAGACCTCTGCTTGCTGCTGTAGTGTGAGATCATGACCAAACAGGATGCAGGGCTGGACAGATTATGTGCCTGATTGTGTCTGAAGCATCTATTTCCCTTGCTCCTTTATAGTTAGGAGTTACTGTCATCGTATTGAAAACTTCTTGGCCTTTGCTGGTTGCTTTCCTATCACCAGTAGAGCATTCCCAGAGCACATTCCCCAGTGCATTGGTCTGAAAGCAGTGTCCCTGTCTCCGTTCTCCAATGTTTCCACTGAAACAGAAGCTAGTGGTGCTTGGCTCCACTCAAGCATGGAGCCAGGAAGGTCGTTTGAAGATAACTACCCTGTTAATGAGCAAACAGGAACTTCAGACTCCTATCTGAGCATCTTCTTAACGTCAGAGGTGCATGCAGGCTGCTTCATACCCCTCCAACTCCTTCTGCTCTATGGGGCTTCTTGGAGGAAATGCTTGGCTGTAAAATCAGCAAAAAGCTGGCAGAAAGCTGGCTGTAAAATCAGTAAAAAGCTGGGCAAAGCTGCATCTCCCCCAGCTATAGCCCCCTGCCAGTATTGCTAGTGCCTGCCCATGGCTCTGCCAGCTATCACCTCTGCCCTCACAGCATCTCCCATGGCTGCCTCATGGGGAGGGGATGACAAACCACACAGGAGAAAATTTTTAGCTAAATGCTATCGTAATAAAACATATTTCAGCTAAGTGGGATGGAAGCTGAACAACTGATTTCAGATACTTGCAAACAGAATGTAAAGAGCATTAGTGGAGCTATGCTCTTATACTGTGCTTTTACTGCCAACACTTAGTGATTTCTCTGAAATAGCTGGAGAACAGCCTTGTTTCGTTCTGTTTTCCAAATCTCTCCCTATCATTCACCTTGTGTATCTGCTGTATCAGCTTCTTACTGATCGTCAGAGAGCAAACCTACAAGACGTGACATAACCGGCCTCTGAAAATCACTGACTTACCTCATTTGTTCCTGTATGTCACATTTTCTCTGAATTTGGCAGCAAAGCTTGTTAACAACCTTTCCTCGTTCTTCTGGTGCCTGAGAGTTGCCCAGAATTAGACAGTTTTGTAGGGCTGGAATTGATTTCCCAATAAGATGCATTACCTTTTTGGAAGCTCGTTGCTTGTCCTGGAACATAGTGGGCAGCACAGACAGTCCTGGACATGCAGAGCCTTGTCATAACACCTGCCATAACATCCCCAGGTGCTGGAGGACAATCTGTGACTAGACCAGCTGCCTGGTGCCTAAAGCTAAGCAGTGGCATTGAGGCTACAGGAAACCTGTGGGAACAACAATCCTTTCCAAGTCCAATGGGGAATAGTTTCCTACTATACTGAACAGTCTAGGATGATCCAGAAGGAAAGTCCTATTCAGGAGAATTGCTGAGACATTCAGTTCCCCTATTTCACACAAGGTTTGGTGGTGCTGGCTCAATGAAGAGTTGTGATGTTGGGATTCATGCTCATTTGGGGCTACCATCAGCCAGCATGAGACAGACTTAAAAATACTGTCTGGGCTCCTGGGCTTCAAACAAAAGTCTGCAGGGCAAAACCAAAAGACTTGGAAATCCAGGAAAGCATTCAGTGCCTAGAAATGGGCTTCATAGACTCCACCTGTGAAGAAGGAGGAAGCACCAAACAGAAAATGGTTCCCATTCTGATGCACCTCATTTTTCCTGTGTATGAGCCTGGAATTTGTAGCCCAGAATTACTTCAGGAGAAAGGCACTTACGCAGTTCCTTTGATGCAGGGAAGTGTTGGCAGCAGTAGTAGGTTATAATACTCAGAAGACTCAGAAGTGACCTTTACCTGTCTCCATCACCTTCCCAGAGCTTGTCCTAACACCTCGGAGCTGGGAACATCTCCCATTCCTTCCTGCAACTCCTCACTTTTAGGTTCAGCATTCATAGCATCCAAGAGGGAGCTGAACTGTTGTCTCAGGCTTAAAAAAATCTGGCTGGGGACAAAGGCATGGATGTGACAATTACATTACATTCCTGCAGCGTTTACCTTGCTTTGGAAATGTTCACTGCAGGCCACTCAATAAGCAAAAGAAGAGGTTAAATAGGTAACATGGTATCATTCAAATCCATACACTGTAACAGCACTCCTTAAGAACATGGAAGTAGTCACAGGAAGACCTATTGGAGAGAACAGACTCTTAGCTAATGTCCAGATTCATCAGCCGAATGAGTAATCTGAATCAGAAAACAGCATCAGTGCTTGTACTGAGTAATCGATGGGAGGCAGAGAGCGCCAGGCTGTTTAAGAGGCTCAGGCAAGCCTCACTGTTGTGGCAGAAAATGCCACCAGCAACCATGTTTTTGAGTCAGGGACTTTTGTGAATTATGCAGTCTCTTTGAGTATCGGCAGCTTGTCTCGAGGATGTGTATTTGTGGTCAGTGCTAGAGCTTCTGGTACAGATGGGTGGAAGTCTTTTTTGTATTTAGGGTTGTAAACGCTTCCATAAAACCATGCTTCATCTCACTATGTCTGAATAGCAGAACTCATGTGGCCTGTGAAATACCAGGCTTTTATTCTGGAGACAAACATAACCAATACATTTGCAAGTTACAGGCAAGAGAAATTACCTTGATTTAAGGTTTTATCTTCAATCCTGTATCAGTCTCTTTGCAGCTCACGCCAGGAGGAGTTATTAGCCTGATCCTTTCCCTGGCAGCTTCAATGAGCATTTGTTCACACCTGCTGTCAGCAGAAGCAGGACTGGACATGGCTCATATGAGTGTGTGCTCTTCTCTGCAGGCTCCTCAGCCGTGCTCAGCACCACAATATCTAGGAATCTCCACTGGTTATTTGTCCCTGAAAAAAAATGAGACTTTGGACATGCACTCCCCTACACTTATCTTTGTGGAAAGGGCAGAGTTTGCCTATCTTGCTCTTGCAAGCTTGCAGCTCTCCTAAGACAAGTAAGAGGTGCTTTTCCCTCAGAGAAGTAAAAAATTCTGTAGGAGAAAATAGCATATAAGTATGTATATAAACACATTTCACACACCACAGGGGATGCAGAGTCAAAACAAATTCGCTATTCAGGTTCCCCAGTCTGGTAATTCCATGTTATTCAGGCATGGCACAAGAATAGTTTCCAACATTTTCTCACACTCTGGAGAATTGTGTTTAACTGGGCCTTTACCCAGTGTTTGTGTTTTACTGGCCCTGGCGTTGCAGGGTGAGGTGGGGCAATTAGCTTTTGTGCCAACTCAGCCCAACTAATTTCCCCAAAGAAATCAGGAAGGAAATTGAATGGAAAATTGAATATCAAAACAGACAGGAAAAAAAAAGCAGGGGGGGGGGAATATAGGAAGATCATCCTTCAGCTGTCTTGCACTCAGAAGCTCTGCAAAGCAGAGGATGAAAAACACCCTGTGCATCATTCTGTCTCTACTGTGTAAGATTTTCCAGGCCCTGGGTTTTTTAATGCTTACATGGCAATCCATCGTATATGGGCTTTCATCCCTGCTGGAGGCAGAGATGTGTTAGTACAACGCAAAGATTGCAAATCCACAACAGGCTTAGGCTTTGGGGCTCTTAGGCCTGAATTCTAGTTGTGTTCCTGTGCTGGGAAGGTATTAAGAAGAAATAGATTCTCCTCAGTGAAAAGCTAATTTAAATCCCCTCTTGCAGTAAACACCCAAAAAACCCTCCACATACTGTCAGTTTTAAGGTTACATCTCACCGGCAACTAGAACATGCTCTGAAAATTAAACAAATTTTATGCTGCTTAAAAATAGAGCTCCAAATGTTTCACTCCTTTTTAAAAAATAAAAAATAAAGAAATAAAGCCCCCAAGATTCAATGTGAGATAAAAAAGGAGGATCCTCCGAGGACATCATAGGCTGCCAGAAGGAAAACAGGGGAGGTAACAACATTTTCTGCTACAGGATATGGGGTCAGAGTATCCTAGCTTTAGCCTGGTACCAGGCTGGCGTTGCTGCAGGACTTCTGGAGCCATCATGGCTCACATTCAGCTTGGGTCTGTTCGCCTCCAGCCACGTTCACGTGTCCCTCGTCCCCTTGAGGGAGTGGGGCACGGCTCAGTCTTTGTGAGGTTCCTGCCTGGGAGGTGGAAAGCTCTGATCCCAGAGCTCATTAATTCTGCCCTGCCTTTCAGGTCGTCAGATCCAGGTTTCCTTATGGTGGCCATCCCACCTGTTGCCTTAATTCTGCTTCTCCCCTTTGTGTCCCATCTGCAGAGAAGCAGCGGGAGCTGGCTCGGAAGGGCTCCCTGAAGAACGGCAACATGGGAAGCCCAGTTAACCAGCAGCCCAAGAAGAACAACGTGATGGCACGAACAAGGTAAGGGGCCGGGAAGGACCCTGCGCCACTCTGCGCTGCCATCCCTAGGGGCCTCACGATGAAGCAAGGACGATGCTCATTGCCATGTACCAGTGACCAAACACACCGTGCACAGCGACGGCCCTTCCCAGAGCTGGTGGGCCCAAATGCTCCTTGCTGTGCTCCATGTCATCCCCAGAGAGAGCCAGGAAAAGGATAAATAAAGGACCAGTGACAATACAACCTGCAGGAGGGCAGGGGCAGCCCAGCCAGGACTTGGGCAGGGGGGTCAGTCTGGTTGTCTTGCATCTTTTTGAGTCGTCTGTCCCACATAATCTGAGCAGTAGGAGAATGTGCAGTACTGCTTCATGTAGCTGCTCATATTTAGAGCTTAGTTCTGACTTGGCTGCTTTTACCCCAGTAGATCTTCTATTCTGTTGTGAAAATAACCCCTTCCCTGCACTGATTGACAAAGGCTTGTGAATAATACATCTCCATGTGCTTTGTTGTACATCTCCCCTGCACTTTGAACAGTGCGGTCATACTTTGCTTGAGCTGCTTTGGCACATCTCTCTATGACACTATCAGGCTATGCTACAAATCACTGGATGCAAAATTCAAGTTCTTGGCTGAAATTAGCCAGTTTCATTTTTTTTTTCCAAGCAAGCTTCAATGCAATAGCATATCACTTATGGACATACAAGAGACAGGAACTCTCCTGTGTCCACAGGAGGGCACACTTTGCATGCTCTAAGAAAGGTGGCATTTTTTAATAGAGGTCCTCACTTAAAATGACAGTAGAATCTGCATGAAAGCTGGATGTTTACTGATGAGTAAGAAAGTTGCATGGATTGCCATACATTAAGTAGAACTGGAGCTGCAGGTCAGAGCCTTTCTGTATGCAGCACATCCAACAGATGAGGTTCCTTGTTCAAAGTAATTCCCCAAACCACAATAGCAGCCATAAATCATGCCGAGACTTTGTCGAGTTTTATTTGTAAGTCCCTACGATGTTGGTGGAATACGTCGCATTGCTCAGCGCTCTGCCTTTGGAAGTCGAGGCCATATAAAGGAGCCAGGCCCTTACTGGAAATAAGAAATTCAGCAAATGCAAGAAACTCACAGCTGAGTTTTCCATGCCCACTGCTCCTCATTGTCTTCCAAATACAAGCTGGCTACAAGACAAAGACTTGGATTCTTTTGGCAGGAGGCTGCACACTGGCTTCCCAAGAGGAATGGTGGCAGATTTGCTGCTTGAGAGATGTAGAAACACTGAAATCAGCAGGCAGAGATGGTAAGGGAGAGAAGGTGAGATAAATACAGGCCTACCTGTAAAATTCCTGACTTCTGCAGGAGACACTGCTGTTTAAGAGCTGCAGATGGGAAGAAGAGTAATTTAGGTGGGGAGAGGCAAAGCACTGATACTCCACGCCAAAAGCTTTAGAACAGCCAGTTCAGTCTTACTGCATTTGTACCTGAACACTGTTCAAGGGACATGTGGACCCCTCCACAACTGAGTTCAGCCTTCAGGCAGAAGTCCTGCTTTTCTTAGTTACTCTTCACAGAGCTTTCAGAAGCATCCTCTGGGATCCCAAAGCAGAGGTTTGCAGACACTGCTTTGGTAGCAGATATAGCCAAGTTCCATTGTTCTCATGCAGCTGGGAGATGTCTGGCACGTTGCCTTGCTGGTCCATCTCTTCATCCCTTGGCTTTCTGTGAGCCAAGCAGCACCATGGGCAGAGCCCCAAGCGATACCTCAGAGTGGTTCAATCTGTCTTGCCATGGACAGCCGAACCTCAGGGAGGCAGAAATGCCTACAAACTTTTCAAATAGCTTGCTTTCACAGCATAAAGGTTGCCGTCCGATGGGAAATACTCCAGTGGGAGCACAAGGCTTGTAGTTGTTTTTTAAGTCTGATCCATTGACTTCTAGTCTCTCAGGAGGAGAAAAAGCCAGTGTCTATCCCCCTTTTTAATAGTCTACCTTTCTCATCAAGTATGTTTTCTTTCACTCAGTCCACATTGCCTCTCCTTGGCCCCTCTCCACCTCCTCCTCCTCCCCTGAGTTTTGGTTCCTCTGTATTATCTGTCTGAACCCCTGACAGATGGCATCTAGTACCAGATTCCTTCACCATTCTGCCTTTTCCTGGGGTGAGGGTATAGCAGCCTCAAAGGTGAAAGGATCTGGACGCATAATGTGTCCAGCCCTCCCAAGACCAAACTAAATGTGAACAAGGCTGGTGTGGTTCTGGCACGCTCAGTGCGAGGCTAGGCAGAACCCACAACATCATCCATCCCACTTCCACACCGCCAGATAGGAGACTGCTGACAGAAATCCCAGCATTAGTGCAGCCCTTTGCAAGCTGGGCACCTGCCCACTAGGAACTGATCTGGGAGAACAGCTCATTCCATGTAGACCAGCAGCGTGACGTTGTTAAGGGATCAGCAGCCTCTCTCCTGTAGCTGACTGGTAGCATTCATCCCTTTGCCTCTATCCAAACACATTCCAGATTCTGGCCTATGTTTTTCTATTGCAATGGATTGACTATCTTGTCTCTGTAGTCCACTCAGAGCATGAATTGAACTCAGATTTTGTCAAAACAGATTTCATGTTAGGTAACTGAAAACATCTAGACAAGAAATTTATACTAGATCACCTGCTGATGAAAGCGGATACAAATGAAACCCAGCTTTGTTGTAAGGGCAGTGGGAACCAAGAATAAGGACAGTTAGGATGTGAGGGAAGCACTTACATCAGGGACAAAGACAGTGTCACAGATTCTGTCTTTTGCAGAAAAAAAAATGAAGTATTGTTAAGAAAAAAATGACATTTTTCAACAAAAAGATATAGTGACTTTTTAATCAAGTGAATTGCACCACAAAGGGCTCTTCTCCCAGATTTCCAGATACTGATTTGTTTATTCAAGACACAGTAACAATTGCCAGTGAACATATCTGGAGATGTGACTTGAAAAATGGAGGGTGAGCATGGAAGTCGGTACCTGTGATATCCCTGCAGGCAGGCTGCCTCTGCCAGGTCACAGCCTCAGTTGCTCATTCCAGACATCCCTGCTTCTTGGCTTCCTTCCTAATTGCTTTAGGATTAGAAGGACTCTCTGAATGCTGTGGGAATGGTATTGAATTTTGTAAGCGGATGCCATTTTCTACAGTTCTCTTGATAGCAGAGGTGGGAAATTATGTATAAATTTTAAAATTAAATTTTTAATCTTGAGTTTCAATGAGCACAGTAAGCACATGCAACTAATCATGGGCCTGTACACCTGCTTTGATGTAACTTCTGATATATTCTTTTCTCACTGACATTTTCCAATTTTCAGTGCTTGGCAGGCCTTTATATAAATTATAACAAAAAAAATCCTAATATTTTGGGAGTTGAAGCTGAAGAGCATTGCACCTGAATAGAGAGCAGTTGGAGCGTGGATGGGATACATTGTCTTCAGGAATATATTTCCCAAACTCTTAGTGAAGCCCTTCTGCACTATTGTATGTCATTAAAGACCAGTCATTCATTTAGAAGAAAATTTTAGGTAATCACTGAATAAGATGTTCATCCTACTCTTACTGTTCCCACCCACTGAACACAGACTCTTGCTTCATTTTCCCATTTTGTTTGATCTTATTTTAAATGTGAACCAAAGTCCTTGTGCAGTTTTATAGATGAAAGAAGAGTTCTGTGTTGTGAGCTGGATACCACTGAAATAATGCATTTTTCTTTTCCTAGAAGCTCCCAAGTCTATATTCCATTACATTATGCTCTTAGGCAATTAAAGGTGCACACTCATAGTCAGCCTTTGTAACGCTTCTGATGAACTGAAATAATGGGATTTAAAAAGTGCTAATCTGACTGTGCTCTTATGCTGCACCCAGCAGCTCATCTTTCTGATATTACTAAATTTAGGAGTGACAGCTCAGAAGTATTCTGCTGTGGGGGCTGGGTAAATGAAACGGGGAAAGCCTCACTATCATATGACTTTGCCCTAGTCTATGTATGGTATTGAGCTTTACTGTGTGGTTAATGGACAACATTTGATTATTTCAGGCTCGTCGTTCCCAATAAAGGCTATTCATCACTAGACCAGAGTCCAGATGAGAAGCCCCTGGTAGCCCTGGATACGGACAGGTATGCCAAGTGTTAATAAGATGATTATGTTACAGCGACAGCAGATTTCCATGCTAGAGTGTAACATTGAGGCTAACTCCTCCTTGGACCTGTGCTGAACCCTTTCTTGCAGAGCACTTGCACTCTTCCTTGCTGTGCCCTTGGGCATGGAACTAGCCTTTCATGGAACAAGTAGGAAGAGACATGAGTTAAGAGCATTTTATGCTCTGAGGTGCACAAATGAAAGTTGATATTCAAACCACCTTGGTATAACTTCTCTGTGCCTGGAGGACTTCATGGTACAAGATAGGAGTAACAGAAGAATACAAATCTTTAATTGTTTTCTTCTTTGCTGTATGTTGTCCTTCCTGCAGTGATGATGATTTTGACATGTCCAGATATTCCTCTTCGGGATACTCATCAGCTGAGGTGAGTTATACTCTCTCCTGCCATGCTTGCCACAGATGCTAATGTTAGAGCAGACTGAAAGGGCTTAGAGCAGCCTTCTCCAGCCAGAAATGGCTGATGGCTGCACAGGCAGTTTGGCAGTGGTATGAACTATGTTAATCTGGAAGGGGCTGTGGCAGAAACTGTGTCATGCTTCTTTCTTCCTCAGTGATCTAGCTGGCTGCCTTTCCTCACTGCTGTGGCACAGGCACAAACTTGCCTGCTGTTTTTACAGCTACCTTTAGTTTTTCCCACTTCTGCTCAGCCTGCAGTGTTGGCCCATGATGTGCAAAAGCATCAGCTTGCCGGTCATGGCAGCTCAGCAACCGTCTACGTGCCGGGAACACAAACAGGGGCTCTGTGGGTATGCTGTTGTTTCCAGTTCCTGTGGGGATCAGGGTCACCCAATGTACATTTACTTAGAGCAGGCAGAAATCTCAGAGAGGTCTTGCAATCATGAACTCTTACCCGTTTCAGAGAAAAGGCAGGAAGTTAAGGCTTGCCAATTCCTCTCTGTTGTCTCTGAATATATTCCCAAGTCCTCTAGGGAGTTAGTTGCTCAGCCTCTGGCTACTGTTTCTACAGGATCTGATTGTACCTCCAGAGTGCTGAGCGGCCGTTCTGCACACAAGCCCCTGGGAGCTCTTCCCCCTTGCATCCCTTCTTTGGGCAAAGTACCATTGAAACTTTGAGAAACGGCCAAGAGCAGGGAGCAGATCAGATGATCTGGCCATCTCTGGGCCATCATGTAAAGCATTTTTTTCATTCAGGTCTGGCTAAACAGCTCTTGAATCTGAATCTACAAAGAACCAAGTACTACCAGCAGTGACTTTACCCCCTTTCAACTATTTCAGTGCCCTAGACTGGTGGGAAGGGTTGTCCTGCTGCAAGTCTATTTATTATCAATGCTATTGCATTACTCTAAATGAGGACTCATTTTCATGGAAACCATATTCCAGAATAAAATAACATGTTAACAAACTGCAGCTGCTCTGGAATGTCTCACTTTGTAGATATTCCTATCCCTCAAGAAGTGAGAACATCGAGAGGAGCCCTCAACTGGGTTCAAAACTTGGGACTTTTGTTGGCAGGACAATTCCTAATGATAAGTATTCCAGAATAAGTGACCTCCTTGCACTTCTGACCTGTCAGAAGGAAGAAGTCTCAAGTATTTGACTGTTTGTCTCTCTCTTTGTCTGTAGCAGATCAACCAAGACTTGAACATCCAGCTGCTAAAGGATGGATACCGGTTAGATGAGATACCAGACGACGAGGACCTCGACCTAATCCCCCCTAAATCGGTCAACCCTACCTGCATGTGTTGCCAAGCCACCTCCTCCACTGCCTGTCACATCCAGTAGTGAGGCCAGCAGGCTGTGATCAGTGCTTTCCACTATAATTGTAAAATTTAACAGCCATTGCTTCCTCCTATGGTAGGACGTGCACCTCTTTGTGTTCATGGAGCCAGGAGAAACCAAAAATCCATTTTATGATTGGTTGATAAGTTATTTTAAGCTATGATTAAATGAAGCAGAAGTTGCTCAAAGTGCCAGGCAGTGCCTAGCAGAACTGACTGGTCTGGAGAATGAATGCAGAAGGGCCTAAATATACCTCCTAAGTAGGCACTGGAGATGGTTTGTAAGGTGTCTCTTCCAGAATGGGAAGGATCAGATGGGGCGCCAGGTAATCCTACCCCACAAAACCAATCCATTTGCAAGATCAGGTCTGAGTCTGAGATTCCAGGTATTTTTAACCAAAGGAGGAGGTCAGTTCTTAATTCATTCACTAAACCTGATCAGTTTGTGTCAACCAAAATTATTCCATAATCAGGGCACGGGAAGGGGAACGGAGTAGAGCATCCAATATTATGGCAGGTCTAGCCAGGAGTAACATAACACAATTCTTTCAGTTGCAAAGAAAACAAGTAGGTGGCATTTCACTCTGAGTCAGTACTAGCTAGAGCTGTCATGTCACATACCAATGCAATCTACCCTTAGTTCCACATTAAATTCTCCTCAATCAGATCAGATTAAATCTGTAATCCATGCATGCTCTCCTGGATTTCAGTCCTTGCCTAAGAGTAACATACTCAGGAGTTCAACCCAGTCACGTTTACTGACTTCAGCCTATACTTAATTCCCATGAGACCCATATTCTTCCAAAAATGTTAAACTTTGTTCAAATAAGAAAAAATGAATCCTGCACCAAAACAGAACTAGAGTTGTACAGTCTGAAGATCAGGAGATAAACAGGTAGTTGAAGAAAGCACATTTTATGGGACTCAGCCATTGATAGTCTCTTGTCTTTTCATGCCTGCAGAAGAGATTTGTTAACACTGAAAGCATCTGTGTGGTGGTGTCAGATATTAGCAGTTTTCCACAACAAGGGATTATGAACAGATTCAGCTCCAAAAAAAGAAAGCCATGGGAGGAAACTGCTGTTTATCCCATCTCTGCCCTCTTCCAAGTTTTGCTTGTGTGAGAACTCTCCTCTGTAAGGCATGATTGTGTTTATTTGGTGCCGGGGTAATCAGAAAACCTTATGGTAAATTAGGTTGCTGGACTGAATTGCTAGGTCACCAACCATTTGCTTTTAATGCAAATTAATTTCTGGAATTAGGAAATGCGTTCTCTCTCTGGTCAGTCTTTAACCGTTGGCTTCAGAATACCTGGGACTCAGGTTCTGGCTGAGCTGGAATTTTTTCCTGAGGTGAAATCCTTTGACACAGACACAAGTGTGTGTTTTCCTGCTCTTCCAGGAAGGACTGTCTGTCTTGCTTCTAGATCCTGGCAAAGGCAAGAAGTGAGGGCAGTTCTAAGTTTCCCACATAAATTTCCTCTAAAAATTCCTTTGCATCACAAGAAAGAGCCTGAATTGTAGATCATCTATTTGAAATGTATACAGAGTAAGTTGAGTCTTTAAGAAGTCCTCTTAGCGATTAAGCGAACACTTATTTTTAAACATCATAGATTTTTAACTGTGCAATGCAAGGCACAGTATTGTCCATGGCAATGATTAAAAGATCAGGCATATTCACTAGTTGGCTGTAGCCAACCACTAAAGCAGTGATTCCTCCTCTCCATAAAAGAGAGGCCTTGCTGCCTCCCAGGGAACAGAGAGGGCTGGCCAGCATTGTTTACTAAGCGTATCTGCCTCCTCATGCAAAAGTGCTAGTTATCTTGCCAGCTCCTCTGATAATGCTCCTTAGCTGCATTTCTGCCCCTTTGCAATCACATGCTAATGCTGAGAAGGAATATTTCCAAAATGTTTCTTAAGAAGCACAAACCACCAGGTCTCCAATTCTTGGCTTCTTCCTTCACGTGCCTGCTTTTCTCTCCAATGCTGGCTCAGGAGTGAGATTAGCAAGTTGACTGGAGGGAGAAGAGCTCTCATCTCAAAGGCTAGGGAGAAAAGATAAAAGGGAAAAAAAAAAGAAAAAAAAACCTTCCTTAAGGAGTCTTTTTCTTAAGTATAGAATCTGGTCAAAAATTAACAGAAATCCCATGGTCAAATCAAATCCTACAGGACATGGTCAAGTCTTTGTAAATGTTCCTCATCCTAAAGCGGGGTTGTGCAATTCAGCGTAAATACCACACAACCTCCTCCTCGTATTTATCCTCCTGGGTCAGTGTCTGTCCCTTCTAACCAGGTTGCACAAACTCAACCATCCGCAGAGCCTTTGCATGAAGCTTAGAGCATTTTGGCTTTGCTAGAGCAATGAGGCATCCTGCTTACAAGACTGAACCTTGGCAGATTGTAGGCCCCCAGATCTCTGTCAGATTATCTCTATGTTAGGCAAAGATGGGGCAAGACATGCTGAGACTGAGTCTTCCAAGGCTACACCTCCCCTCTGAAGGACAGACTTCCCCTAAAAACCTTTGCCCAGTGCAGCACTATGAAGTCCTTTTATTGCCCTTATTGCTGGTTCTGTTTTTTGCCTGCCACGTGCCCTGAAGCAACCCCACAACCCTGCAGTTTCCCCCAACCCTTTGCACTGTGTGATGTGCACCTGCTTTCAGCATAACCCTTTAGGGTCCCTGGGAGGAAACTACTCTTTTGTGTATAGGACAGAAAGAGGTGAGTTTAAATATTAGCTACACTCAGTGCTTCCCCCAAGTACAGCAGAAGCACAAGCCAAATGTTTTTTCCTGCTCACAGAAGGAGTTGGTTGCACAAATAGCTGGTTTGGCATGACAGTACAGGACCATAAAATGGCAAATTTTTGGCTTCTCCTCTCTATGCTTTGTGTTCATATATTTTACTAGGGGAATAAAGTAGAAAGAGTGGGGAAAAGTAGTTACCTGTGTAGGGTTGTTATCAGGAAGGCTGAATGAATTCAAGCAATGCACATGTGACTATCACAGAAAATTGACCACTGACCCTTCTGACCTGCAGCCCCTTAAGCAGGTTATTAACATGGGGTGTGTTTGTTGGCTTGCTGTGGAATATGATGGTCAACGTATTAACTGCAGACTGGGTTGACTCTCCCGTTCTGGTCTCATGTTCAGACCTTTGCTTCATATGGGAATTTTTCCTTGTGCCCTCAGTGGAGGTTCTGCTGCAGTGACTCTCCTTGGGAAGGTGTCTAGATACATGCCCATTCTGCCCCTGCTCTCCTTAGGTCAGTCTATGCTGCCATGGCCCAGAGAAAGCATGAGCAAGGAGCACAGCCCCAGCCTTCTGTCGTAGCATTATATAGCCCTAAAGCCTGCAGAGCTTCTGGGCATTCTTCTGGCTGCACGCTGCTTGTGAGAAAGTAAGTCATTCCTTGTTCCAGCCTTTGCACTAACTCAAATGGTCTTCTCAGGCCCCATTTTTAGTTCAAAGCCCTGCAGAATAGCAAGGGGAGGAACGCAAGGACATGAAAGGCTACATCACTGTCCGTCTAAATTACCATGCAAATGGGATAACATCTCATATTGACACTGGCACCTCCACAAAAGAATTTTCATTTGATGCCCCCTAAAGCCAAGCTGTTTTTTGTTGTTGTTGTTGTTAGAACTGGTATAATTTTGATCACCAAATTACCTGAGTATAAGCAAATCTTTTCTTTTTTATTTTGCCCTTGATCATGAGCTGACTTTGGACTATGGAGTCTCAGCACTCAACTCATCTCTCCTGTCAGTCTGTCAGTTCCCCATTTTCAGATACCTGTGCTTAAGGAAGGCTGAGGGTGAATGTCTTGGTGTTGAGTGAGATCTCTAGGTGCCATGGTCTAGTCTGCTTTTCTGCTGGCTTTATTATAAGATTTGTGTGGAAAAAGGCTGATGTACAGACAACTATCCTAAAGGCTCATCTGTTAAGAGACCTTATCACACATATCTTGATGCTTTGGAAGAGCACAGGATTATTTCTGACATTTCTGTATGCCTGCGCCCAACGTGTATGTTTGGCCATTGGGTCAGCCAGACTTGTTTGGTTGTCTTGCCCGCAGATGCTTTTTTTGCCTGCAATAGCAGGTGGCCCAGCCTGCTGCTGGACTTCAGAAGGGGCTCCAGGAAGCTGTGCTCCCCCACGGACAGGATGGACTGGGCTGCTTCTGCTTTGGCTCTCCAGCTCTTTCCCAGAAAGAGGCACCTGCTCCGCTCAGCTGTGTGTTGGCTGACACGTTTGTGTGAAATCCTGATCAGAATCCTTTCCTCTCCATACAGGATGTCCTTAGAGCATCCTGCAAGCTGTACAAAGGAGTGCAGGAAGCTTGGAAAGCACAGCCCCCTGCCCATGACTGAACAGAAACAAGAAGATGCTTTTGAAGAAAGGAAGGCCCCAGCTGGGCACCAGATAGTATGACAGAAAGGGAAAAACGGGCAGTAACTGGAAAGGTTGCCAAGTGCTGCCTTGGCCTAGGGCAGATCCCAGTTGTCCAAGTTAATCTATCTTAGTACAGTGCTGATACCAGCAGAGACAAAGCTTGATTTGGGATGCACACACCAGAGTTGTCACCAAAGCCACAATCCAACTACAGAGTCTGTTGGACTTTTAGAGCACAGAAATGTGGTGTGGGGTTCTTTTCTGCTCTTGGTACATGGTACATTTGCTGTAACCTCAGGCATCCCTGCTCCATGTCCATTCCCTTCTGCACCATGAGGGAGAAACCTGCCCTATCAGGATGCCACCCGCCCTGCATGGATGTTGCCGAGTGTGTGGCAGGCACCAGTGGTAGGATGGCTCTGCAAGCAAGATGCAGAAAGGATCCTGTGAAAGTGTTGCAGGTATTTTCAAAGTACTACAAAAGAAGAGCAACACAGCTCGCTCTCCCTCCATTTTCTCACTTGTGATGATTCTCGCCTGTGCCAGAAGGCTGCAGAGTGGAGGTTAATAGAGAGGTTGGACAGCTTTGGGGGCAGATGTTTGGCAAGGATTTGTTTCCCTGTTATTTGGCAGCTGGCTTTCGCACAGCTGGCTTCCCGATCTGCATGCTGCCAGAAGAAACACGGAAAGAAGATTTGATGGCCCAATAGCACCATCCCCTGCTAGCAGAGTTAAGGAATTTAAGAGTGCAAGTGGATTTACAACTGAGATGGTCAGTTCTAATGGGAAGGAAGAGAGCATTAAAGGACTCATTTGTGATATTTCCAGGGCAGTTTCATGCTCTTATTTTTTAACATCCATGTAGTGATTTGATAGTATAAACAAGCCATTTTCTCCAGGCTCTTCTTTTACTTTCTATTCTTCCTTCAAGTGCACCTGAGGTATGGCCACTCTCCCCTAGGAGATCAGCTTTGTCATGTAAACAGTGCTTGTGAATTTACCCTGGCTTTGACCTTGATCGCCTGTAGAGCTGATGCTTCAGAGCATCCTACTTTTTGGCTGTCCAAGTCTCAACAGAATATATATATTATAGTATAGTATACTATATACTATATACTGTATAGTTGGGAAAGCATGCAGCAAAAGTCCTTCCTCTGAGAAGGCATGGGATGAGGTTCTTTATAAGGTGCTTTTCAGCTTGTGGCATCCCTGCCGCTTGCTTTCAAGGCTTTCCTGTGCAAGGGTTTGCTCCCAACTTTGAACCACATCTCATCAG